TGTGAGGGTTTTCCCCCCCCCCCCCCCGTGTTTGCAAATCTTTTCAGGTTTATTATCTCTCTTTCAACTCATTTCATACAAATTATGGCATCTGTTTAATTTTGTCTGTGTACAGACAGGATGAGCTTAGTGTCAAACAATGCATGCGTGCAAGTTGCAACTACAGTGTTTCGATCATTTATGATGACTCACTAGTGAATCATTTACAAAAGCCGCAAATGAGAACATTCTCACCAGACAGGGCAGCAAATATAAAAACAAATATTTCTCTGTCTTTGTCTTTTCTGCTGTGTGTGAGAAGGTTGGCGGGATAAGTCTGTCTTCACAAATTGTTGTTGTGCATTTCTGTTTTCCCACAGCATGTGTTTGAGGCTGAAGCCAGATTCCAGAACTCTGTGGCCCTCCACAGGCAGAAGAGAGAATGGATCGTCCCTCCCCAAATCTTAGAGGAGAATGTGGATTACACCAAGAGAGAGTTCATTGCAAAAGTGAGTGAGACTTTTTCTGCATTAAACATTAATATGCTGATATCAACATTAATGTACAATCAATGTGCAAAAATGACATGTAAATAAATTAGTCACAAGGCATCAGCTTTTTCACCATGGGGGAGTTGAAAAGGGAAAAATAAGATGTGATCTAATTGCAAATTATATTATAGGAATAGCTCACGCAAAAGTGAAAAGTTGCTGAAAATGTACTCACCCTCAGGCCATCCAAGATGTAGATTCGTTTGTTTTGTCATCAGAACACATTTGGAGTAATTTATCATTACATCACTTGCTCATGAGATCAATGAGAGTCCAAACAGCTGATAAAAACATCACAATAATCCACATTACTCCAATGAATTGTGTGTTTGTAATGTGTATGTAATAAATATATGAAGATGTTTTTGGCTAAAATACAGGCTCTCTAACCATAATATTGCTGTCTCCAGTGAAAAAGTTGTCTCTTCTGAATCAGGAGAGAACTATGCACTGATCAAAACTAAACAAATATGTTAGTGAATTTTGATGTGAGAGGACAACAGGGGATGGATTTTTCATTGGAGGAAGCATTATTATGGATGATAGTATTTTCGCCACAAGCAACAGTTTAAACTTAAAAGGCCTTAATAATGGATTTGTTTCTTACAAACAATTAACTTTTCTCTTCATAATTCACAATTCATTAATTGATAGACTGGAGTGGTGTGGATTACTTGTGGATTATTGTGATGTTTTTATCAGCTGTTTGGACTCTCATTGTGACGGCACCCATTCACTGTAGAGTCATCTGTTGCTGAGCAACTCATTAGATCATCTTTGAGAGTAAATTTTGAGAAAATGTTCATTTTTGGGGAGCTATTCCTTTAATTCCATTAATGGTATGCACAAAAATTACACATGAAAATTGCAATTTTAGCTTCTTGTCATTTAAACTTTGTATATAAAAACTGATGTTTGCAGTATCATTATTGGTGCACACGTAAGAGTATTTGATGAAGTCACCACTTCACATGTGTGATATACTGTGAAACAATATTATTAACAAATCCAAGTATTTAAGATTTGCAATGCTTAATGTGTCAGGCCTCTGTGGCTTGATTGTTTTTTTTGGGGGGGTTAAATAAATGTGTTTCTGATTTATTTAGATTCGCTCAGATAAGGAAGATGTCAAACTGAGAAATGTGAAGTACTCGCTGAAGGGCATCGGTGCAGACCAAGAGCCGTTCAATTTATTTGTGGTGAATCCTGAAAATGGATATGTAAGGATAACGGGGCTCCTTGACAGAGAGTCCATCGCACAATACAATGTAAGTGAAATGGCCATGATGACAATGATGATTCATGATGAAGATGATGAAGGTGGCTTTAACACCTACACTTGATTATGAGGGATGGTGATCTTACATTTATTTCTTCACCTCTGTAGCTTTCAGGCGTTGCTACGTTCACAGATGGCACAATTGCAGAGAATGACATTGGGTTGAGAATAAAAGTGAAGGATCAGAATGATAATCCGCCTGTTTTCGGTCCAATGATACCTGGCGATGTAAACGAGCTCAGTCTAGTAGGTATGTGAACTGCAGTTGTTACAGGTGTTTTAAAAAAAAAGTGACTTGAAGTTTGTACAATAAACATAATGGAGATTAATAATTATCAAATTCTGCATGTGGGTTATTGACTCAAACCAAAACCTTTTTTTTTTTTTTTTTTTTCTGGATCTTTTAATCCTTTAAAATGTATTCATAATTTGAATACTGAATACATACTTTTCTGTATTATAATTCATTTCTCTTTTATGAAGTAGTTTTGCAAGATATGTTATTATTATTTAACAGGAATTTAAGAGGAAATTAATTATTATAAGGGGGAAAAAATCAGCTGCACTTCTTATTACTATTTGGTAATATAAGTTTAGTTGTAAAATGTCATGTGGTGCAACTCCCCAAAAATGTAATGATATTTATGAATTAATAATTTAAGATATTTGAGGGGAAAAAAAGAATCTTGAAATAAACACTACACTTCAAAAATCTGGGGTCTGTAAGTCTTTTAAATGTTTTTGAAAGAAGTGTCTTATGCTCACCAATGCTGCATTTATTTGATAAATATATATATATATATAACAGAAATATTGTGAAAATATTATTACAATTTAAAATAACTTTCAATTTTTCAATTTTAATATTTTTCAAATGTAATTTATTCCTGTGATGGCAAAGCTGAATTTTCAGCAGCTTACTCCTCTTCAGGGTCACATATTTTTTTTCAGAAATCATTCTAATATGCTGATTTGCTGCTCAAGAAATATTTTTTATTATTACCATTTCTGAAAACAGTTGTACTGCTTAATATTTTTGTGTAAAAAAAATTCAGGGTTCTTTGATGAAGTTAAAGAACAACATTTATTTGAAATAGAATTATTTTGTAAAACTGTAAAGGTCTTTACTGTCTCTTTTGGTCAATTTAATGCATTTTTGCGGTATAAAATTATTCAGTATACACCGTAGTAGTGTATAATTTAACTTTTTTTTTTTTTAAATGATAAAAATGTTTTACTTGAAGGTTACACCTCTTGATATGTATACAGGATAAAATGGTATGAAGGTTTTTAAAACTTTATGAAGCCAACATGAATACAAAGAGTACATTTCTAAGAACTTGTCACATGTTTTAAACTAGATTTTTCGAAGGATTTGTTCATTTCATTTATCGCGGGCACTCTTATTTTATAGATACAGCAGTGATGAAGATTAATTGCTTTGATGCTGATGAGGTAGGAAACCCAAACTCTCAAATCAAGTATGAGATTGTTGAGCAGCAGCCAGCTGGGGCGCAAATGTTCAGAGTTGATGCTGACGGGACAGTCCGTGTTAACAATCCTAATCTGGATAGAGAGGTGAGAGGTCACCATCACTTTATCAAATGTGTACCTGATATCCAACACGCTTACATAGCACACATAGACTCCATGTGTTTGCACTGGCTCTACTTCATTGACAGCATTTGTAAGCTTCAGTGTCAGTGCCAGATGTTCTGTTATTGTTTCAGTTTAAATGAGTAATGCAGGAACATAATAAGGACACAATAACTGCTTTTGTTGAGCATATTGAACAGCATGTAAATGATTCCACCTGTTTATTTACACGCCATCTCTCTCTTCAGACTATTGATCAGTATGTCCTGCTTATCAAAGCATCTGACCTGAACGGAGCCCCAGGCGGCAATGCCGCCACAGGAACAGTCACCATCAAGATCAATGATGTCAACGATAATGTGCCTACATTGCAAGGCCCAGTAAGAAAATATCTACACTATGTTTACATCCACACAGTTTTAATGTTGTTGTAGTGGTCCCTGCAATTTTTGCAACTTATTTTTTCTTTCTCCATAGTTTGAGGCTAGTATTGAGGAAAATACAGATAAAATAGAGGTGATGAGACTTAAAGCAAGTGACCTGGATCTTAAGGACACGGACAACTGGGTGACTAAGTGCTTTATTGCATCAGGCAATGAGGCTGGATACTTCAGCATTCACACGGACCCAAAGACCAATGAGGCAGTCATTATGCTTGACAAGGTGTGCAATGATATTTGTTGGTTATTTTTCTTTCATAATTTCTAGGATAGTTGTCAGTAGGTTTTTTTGTGATACCAAAATGTAAGTATTCATACCAATATTGGTAAGATTTCATAATTCTCAATACCAATTTTGACACCACAGGAAAAACTAATTCAATTTAGTAAACAAGTAATTATTTTAAGTAATTATTCAAGTAAGCAGTCAATAATAAAGGAATAATGTAAATGCAGTTTCTCTTTTTCTTTTTAGTATTGTTGTTTGATTAATATTATTGACATAATAGACAGTAACATTGTGAAATATTATTACACTTTAAAATAACTGCTTTCTTTTTAAAAAAAATTCAAATGTCATTTATTTTTATGATGGCACAGCTGAATTTTCAGCAGCCATTTGAAATAGAAATCTTGTAATGTTATGCATGTCTTTACTCTCACTTTTTATTCATTTAATGCAGGGGTGTCCAAACTCGGTCCTGGAGGGCCGGTGTCCTGAAGAGTTTAGCTCCAACCCCAATTAAACACACCTGAACCAGCTAATCAAGCTCTTACTAGGCATACTAGAAACTTAAAGGCAGGTGTGTTGAGGTAATTTGTAGCTAAACTCTGCAGGACACCGGCCCTCCAGGACCGAGTTTGGGCAGCCCTGATTTAATGCATCCTTGCCAAGTAAAAGTATTAACTTTAAAAATACTTTCCCCAAACTTTTAAATAGTAGTGTACTTTGATTATTCATCAAAACGTATTCTTTTAACATTCACATGATACATAATTTACTGTGTTTACATTAATACATTGCAAAGATTTTGATGACCCGTGCAGAAAAGTGCAGTTTTACCATCGAAAACAGTTAGTCAGACAGCACTTGGGTAATAAATTGAATCAGTACTTGGTTATATTGATACAGAAGAAAGGCTAGTATTGTTACCTTTGTTATAGTATCAACTTTCTTTAAAAGTACTGGTACTTTTGACATTGTTACTTATAGCATGTAACTGAAGCAGATTATACTCTCAGCCATTTGCTTGAAAAAAGTATCTTATGTCTGTTTTCCCTGCAGGCTGTTGATTATGAGGATGTCAAAGACCTGAACCTTGGCATTGGTGTAATGAACAATGCTCCATTCCACCCCTCTGTGACTGGAGGACAAGAAGGAATAAACATAAACTTCGGTGGCAGCGGTGATGGGGCAGGAGGAGGCGGCGGTGGCGGTGGTGGTGGTGGTGGTGGTGGAGGCGGTGGAGCTGGCGGCGGTGGTGGCGGCAGTGCAGGCGGTTCATGGTCGATGTCAGGGAGTCAGATATACAATGTGAACGTAAAGGTGAAAAACCAGCCAGAAGGACCCAAGTTCATGCCTCTAACAAAAGCCATTGCCATCTCAGAAGGCAAGACTTTTAACAGCAATGAGGTCATCGCAAGGTACCCGGCCACTGACACAGACACGGGAAAGGAAGCTACCAACGTGAAGTATGTTTACATAAAAATAGTTCTGTCAACAATTAAGCATATAAAAGAAAAAGAAATGAGCTTGAACCAACTATGTTCCCTTTTCTTATAGGTATGTTAAAGGATTTGACCCAGATAACTGGCTGACCATCGATGAGACAACTGGGGCCATTAGAATGAACAAGGCTCCTGACCGCGAGTCCAAGTATCTAGTTAACGGCACTTACTACGCCCAGATTTACAGCATAACTCAAGGCAAGTTCCAGGCAGGATTATTAACTAAAACTAAAACTTTAAATGGCTAGTTGATAATTCTGTCATCATTTACTCAAGTTGTTCCAAACCTGTACGAGTTTCTTCTGTTGAACACAAAAGAAGATGTCTTGAAAAATGTTGGTAACCAAACAGTTGCTGGTAGCCAATTGACTTCCATATTATTTTCTTTCCATATTATGGAAGTCAGTGACTACCAGCAACTGTTTGGTTACCAACAGTATAAATATAACTGAAATTTATTTTATTTCAACTCGTTGTCAAGGCAACATTTCTCCTTTTCATTTAGTTTCATTTGAAGTACTAAAATAACTGAAACTAAAACTAAAAACTATGAAGACATTAATTAAGAATTTTAAAAAAGTGATAAAAATGACAAACACAACAAAATTACTAAAACTATAACTAAAATAGTATATAAATGATACTAAAATAACACTGGTTCCAGGTAAAAGGGAAAACATTTCTTTCTTTGTTGGTTTATTTATCCAACTGTTCTATTTTTTTCTGAACTGTTGCCATATGTTGCCAGGTTATTGTTCACTGCCATAATATATGATAATATTCTTCATTAACTTATAGACCAATCATAATTCCAGTGTGCTGCATTTTACAATAAAATGGACATTGCAGGTATATAACCTGTCCTGAAGATGGCGCCTTCTTCACATTGATCAATAATAGTTACTGAAAACCGGGTCAATGTTTGGATACTTAACCATTTGCAAGTTATGTTGTAAAAATGATTTGATTTCATTCACTTATACCATTTATTTACAATGCATTCTCTTTTTCTATATTTTTCTTTTAGTATTTTTTTAAACTAAGGGAAAGTAGCCCAAAAGCATTCTTTTATTTTACTTTTTGACACTTCAGTTTTTATTATATATAACAGTATTATAACATTTGTCTCACATTTATGTTTGTGTATTGTATGCAAATCAAAATAATATATTATTTTTTAAAATATGTTTTTCCTTTTTTCTTATAGACTTGCCTTCAAAGACGGCAACAGGCACCATTGCCATCCAGGTAGAGGATTTTAATGATCACTGCCCAACTTTGGCAAGCAAAGTCAAGACACTTTGTACTGAAAAGGATGCCGTCTTAGTCACTGCAGTGGATGAGGATGCGCCACCCAATGGAGCTCCATTCACCTTCAATGTTGTCCCAGAAGGAACTAAAGGGAAATGGACAGTCGAGCATTTCAACGGTATGTGTGTATGTTGGGAACACAATGGCCCACATGGCCAACCATAAAAGCTTTATGACCCACAACTATACTTCACTGACGTAACATTTAAAAATTGCATTGAAGTTAAATTATATTTCCATGAATATGTATAGTAAAATACTGCTGCAGTACCTGGGGGGGGGGGGGGGCCTTGACCCACATGTTAAAAACTACCTGTTGTAAGAAGTCAAAAATATAAAGTACTAGTCAGAGATCTGTTAATCAGGATGTCACTACTGACTCTGTGGTTGAGATCGTCTGTTTTTCTTCTTATCAGATACCACTGCCATCTTCAGAACCCATCAAAAGCTGTGGCCAGGAGAATACGAGCTGACGGTGGACGTCAAGGACCAGCAGGGATTGTCATGTCCAGAACCTCAGAAAATTCAGGTGGATGTGTGCACCTGTACCGACCAGGGAGCTTGTGCCCGAACAGGAGCACATGGAGGAACAGGAGCATTTAAGAAGGGATCCAGGTTTGGACCTGCTGGAATCGGCCTTCTCTTCCTTGGACTCCTTTCATTATTGCGTAAGTTCACACCAGTATCTTAACAAAGTCTACCATGTAAATCTGTCTTTCTGACATTCCCTAGATATTTAGTTAATTGCCTCGTTTCTATTTATGCCACATTTAAAGCTGAAGCATGCCGTTTCTGCAGGACTAATGAAATGACAAAAATAAAGCATATTTTCAGGAGCAGGTGTAAAGATTGACAGTTAAGAGCTAACATGTGTGGCAAAATCTTGAGTTTAGCTTACCTGTCGAGAAGAAACTCCACAAGTTTGGCGTCTCGATTGAAACCCAAACATTCCACCAATTCATTCCTCCATCTTATTGCCACTGCCAATGTTTACCCTTGTCTGTCTCTTCGAATTTTGGCCTGCACTTCTGTAACCAAATATGAAGTTCTTTTTCCATGTGATGTGTCAGCCTTAGTCCCACACTGGCTAAAATTCAGTAGCCACACCCCAGTCTCTCACTATAGGTTGAGCTGGAAACAGATTGATGGATCTGAGCAAACTGCTCTACATTTTTTGCCTGGGAGGCTCAATCTTTACACTTCTAGGGAAGATAAACCCATGAATGGCACGCTAATAGTACAATAAATTAGGTTAAGAGAATGTATTTTGAACTTCACCTTGAACTTTCTTGTGCCTGATCCTGCTCTCCAAACAACTTCATTGGATAGGTTACCCAAAAATACAAAATTCTGTCATCATTTACTCACCTATTCTGCAAAACACAAAAGAAGATATTTTAAAGAATGATTTTATTCACACAATGAAAGTCGGTGGGGTCCAAAACAACATTGCGTTCCACAGAAGAAATTAAGATTTGGAACATGATGACCGAATTTTCACTTTTGGGGTGGACTTAGCCTATTAAGCAGAATACCAGACATGATTGATAGTTGTTATTATTATGTGAAAAATAAATGCTATATTTCTCCTGTTACAGTCATCCCACTCCTGTTGCTGCTGTGTCAGTGTGGAACTGCTGGGCTGGCGGGAGCTTTCACAGACATGCCCTTTGACACTAAAGAGCATCTCATCTCTTACCATACCGAGGGCCAGGGAGAGGACAGGGTAAGATCTTGAACTTCTGATTGATTTGCAATGCATGTTATCGGGAACAAAATCTGATTAAGATGTTATTTCTGTTATAAAGCTAAATAAATCAAACCCTTTTTTTCTCTGATAGGATGTTCCACTACTCGATGTTGTTGATCGAAGGACGAATGTTATGTCGAGAGACGTTGTGGGTGATATGTACTTCGCAGGAGGAGCCGGAGGAGTAGGAGGAGCAGGAGGAGTAGGAGGAGCAAGAGGAGAAGGCTTCCTGGACTCCTCTTCCACAATGGGTGGCCGTGGCTACAATGAAATGGAAATGTCCTACATGGACTCGATCAGGAGAAGTGAGACTCTTAGGAGTAGAGAAATGGCTGGAGATTTTGACGGAATGGCCGTGTCTGATATGTTCCTGGGTGAATACTATTCACAGGTTAGTATACTGTACCTACAGGAAAGTGTGTATATAAAGTCAGTTCAACACATTTATTTAGTGTGATTAATTATGCAATTATCTTTTTATACGGGTGACGGGGACACTATACTGTCAACAAGCACCGTCCTTCGGATGAGACGTTAAACCGAGGTCCTGACTCTCTGTGGTCATTAAAAATCCCAGGATGTCTTTCGAAAAGAGTAGAGGTGTGACCTCGGCATCCTGGCCAAATTTGCCCATTGGCCTCTGACCATCATGGCCTCCTAACAATCCCCATATCTACTGATTGGCTTCATCACTCTTGTCTCCTCTCCACCAGTAAGCTGGTGTGTGGTGGGCGTTCTGGCGCACTATGGCTGCCGTCGCATCATCCAGGTGGATGCTGCACACTGGTGGTGGATGAGGAGATACCCCCTGACAATGTAAAGCGCTTTGAGTGCCTAGAAAAGCGCTATATAAATGTAATTAATTATTTTTTTTTATTATTATCTATCTATCTATCTATCTATCTATCTTTCTATCTGTTATATCATTCATTCTATATATATCGTTCATTCTATCTATCGTTATATCATTAGTTCTCTCTATCGTTATATCATTTATCATTCTATCTGTTGTTCTACAGTGTCGTTGAAAGTTTGTGAACCCTTTAGAATTTTCTATATTTCTGCATAAATATGACACAAAACATAATCAAAATTTCACACAAGTCCTGAAAGTAGACAAAGAGAACCCAAACAAACAAGTGAGACAAAAATATGTTCTTTGTCATTTATTTATTCAGGTAAATTATACAATATTACATATCTGTGAGTTGCAAAAGTATGTGAATCTCTAGGATTGGCAGTTAATTTGAAGGTGAAATTAGAGTCCATCTGTTTTTCAGAGTTGTTTTCAATCAGTGAAATTACTATCAGGTGTCAGTGCGTGCCCTGTTTTATTTAAAGAACTGGGATCTATCAGTCTGATCATGTTTGTGGAAGTGTATCATGGCATGAACAAAGGAGATCTCTGAGGACCTCAGAAAAAAGAGTTGCTGTTGCTCATCAGGCTAGAAAAGGTTACAAAAACATCTCTAAAGAGTTTTGACTCCACAAATCCACAGTCAGACAGATTGTGTACAAATGGAGGAAATTCAAGACCACTGTTACCCTCCCCAGGAGTGATTGACCAACAAAGATCACTCCAAAAGCAAGACGTGTAATAGTCTGCAAGGTTGCAAAGGAACCCAGGGTAACTTCTAAGCAACTAAAGGCCTTTCTCACATTGGCTAATGTTAATGTTCATGAG